TATGGTTATACGGTACATGGAAGGCATCCGTAGAAGCCATCGAGATTTTATTAGCTTAATTCTTGTATTCTATCAAATTATTAGTATGATTCAGTATTATCAGATTATTATTTCCTTAATTATGTATATTTTTTAAAATATATTTAGCACTGAGTCCGACTAGGGTTGAATACAACTACGTGTCCCTATAAGATTTGTCTCTATTAGACAATCGATAGTGGATCCACCTTTAGCTCATATATCATGATTCTTACCTTGAAAAGTAGGATACTCTCTTTCTAGTGTGGGAGCAGAACCCTGAAATCTATGTAGTAGCTTACATGGTTTATGTTGGTTATAGTATACCTTCCACAATTGAATATGTTATTTTAGATATTGCATGACCTTGAACTATGTATTTCATATTAGATCATCAGTTTTCATGTTACGTTTACTTGTTTAATACACCAGGCATGTTTTATAGACTTATCATATTCAGCTATTTTATTTCATTTGCCATACTCAATACATTCCAAATACCGACTCCATACCCTTCTGCCTATATTTTTTGATAATTTTGATTTTAACGTACATCCTTCAGGCCGCGGTTAGTACAAACTATGATTAGTGCAACACAAATTGTTCACATATATGTGTAAAGGTCAATCCTTTAGTATTATAATGGACTTGGATATGAATTAAGGTCACAAGAATCATCTATCACAAAATTGAGTTGAAAGCTTCCTAATAGATTAAGTTTTGACATAAGATTCTACCTAGGTCAACTTCAAACGATCATATCTCCAATCACATTATGAATTAGGTGTCCCATGACCTACCAAGTTAAAGAAATTTAAGTTCTCTTGTCACGCTCCGAGCCTACACCCTGGACTTGGCCGGCACTCAGAGACCATTGAAGGCCCCAAGTGGACCCTTGGCCTGGCTTATTTACTCTGTGGAAGACTTAAAGCATTAAAAAAAATTTCAAATGCTAAACAACTTAACTACCTCAAACTAAACTCATAACGTTTTTAAAATATACATTTAATGAGTCAAAGTGGAAACTCAAATCTGAACATAAGCCAATAACAAAATAATAACGAATGGACTAACATCTGACTGAATATCTATGAAACCTCTAATAACTGAGATGGATGTTGGGACAAGCCCCACAACATCCTAATGAACTGAAATTAAAACTGAAAGCAATAAAATGGATCCTCCGAAAATGCAAGGAGGCTCACCAACTGACTCTAAGGTGCCTAACTGGATCAACGACGCGTTGGAATGTCAAACCTAGTTACCTGCGTCTGTATAATAATACGATGCAGGCCAACTTGCATCAATACATTGAATGTACGAGTACGCGAGATGGAATGCTAAACAACATAGGCTTGAAAGAGATTATGAAAGAAATACATACCTTGGCTCTTCTCAACATATGAGTAATTAACTGAACTCATTTTATTATAAAACGGTTTAAAAAAATGTGCAATATAAAGAAAAGTTATTTAAAACATGATTTTCAACTGTGTTTGTATGCAAAGATACAAATAACTTTGAGATATATGTAAAATACACAATAAACTAATGCCAGTTCATAATCATAATAAAAACATAACATGTTGATTCTTTGTATCTTTTCTTTATACTCGTGATCAAAGTGTCAAATATCAAAATTTGTTTGTCATAAGTAGTGAAATAGCAAAAAATTAAAAGGAAAATCAAGTACATGAGAGAGTTCTTGGGGTGTGATCGCTATTTGTGAAGATAAAAGTGGTTGGGTACATGCTTTCGATAGCTAATTTTGCAAGACAATGGTGACTAGGCTAAGCTTTAGGTGAAAGCAAGTTTCCTGTCTGGGAACTTACCCCATATCAAATGGGTCATTCTCGGAAACCTACTCGTCTAAACTATCCAGCTTACGCCTTATCCACACTTGCTTTTTCGACGGGAGTGCTTGGATATGGGACTAGGGCTCACCCTCTCAGACTGAACCTCATGTCAACCCACACTTTAGGAGATCAACCTAGTGATCTTAGTTTCATGACCACTCTCTCTCAAGCAAGCCAAAAACACATGGTTGGTTTTGTATTAGCAATTACAAACCCATTACATTAAACCACAACTACTAGGTGAAATCACCATTAAAATGCAATCTAAGCTACAAGCAAGCAAGACCCAACAAATTAATCAACTCATTATTACTAAATCATACCCCAAGAAAAGGGGTTTTTAACCACACATCAAGCAATAATCAAATAAGCTTAAAATGATAAAGGAATCAAGTGGGTATAAGAGATTAAACCTTAAAAGTTACAAAGAAAGGTAAATGGAGAAGACTCACTTCCAAAATTGGACAAAGCGCTTCTTTCTTCAAGCTTCCACAAAAACCCTGTCCAAACTTGAGAGAAAACTTAAGAACAAAATATCAAGTGTATTTTTTCACTCTCTAAATTTCTATTTCTAAATAATAAAAGAGTTCAGTATTTATAGACTTCAGAATTATGCTGGTGAATCCTTTCGGTGTAGTTAGAGGTGATTCAGTGAATCGCACTTCGTTCAATTCATCGTTTATTGCACCTTGCCTTCCTTGTCTATGTGTTCTGGATTGATGGGCAAAAATCATCTGCTTTGTGGAACTGATCGGCGAAGCGCCGTTTGCTCCTTTTGTTGCCTTTCGATCCACTTCTTCAGGGCTCACTTGTTGTAACAGAAGGCGGAGCTTCTCTATACGGCAGATCGCCAAATGCATTTGGCGATGCGCATCTTTGCATCTTTAGCTCTTTTTCTCCGTTTTGCGCCTAATGTTAGGATCGAATCCACACACACTTGATGAATGAAAAACACAAGAACTTTCGAGAGAAAGAGATGAGAGATCTAGAGAGAGAAAGAGAGAAATCAATATTTCGTGGTAACACCATGTGAGTAAACTTCCACGGCGGTGGGTATATATATTAATAATTCAGAGTATTTTAGGTTATAGAGAATAAATGGAGAATAAATATTGCAGCCTAAATTTAGAGTATTTTAGGTTAAACCCCGTAAACATTAATATATGACAGTACATCAAATATTAATCAGGCTTCACAACCTAACACCTAAGTGTCCATTCTCCTACCAAATCCTCAAATACCTGAAACTTAGGACTTTTTAGAAGATATCGAGATAAATTAAACAATTGAGGACACTATTAGCATTAAAGTAAGGCCCTAGATGAGTCCAATTTGAGGACTCATCAACACCCACAACTTAAACTTTTTTTGGCCTCAAGTAAAAATCAAGTTCAGTCGTTCAAGTAGGATTTCTTAAATAGTGCTACACAAGACTCAATCATGAATATGCACAAGACTCAAATTACTCATGCATAGCTCAATCATATACTCAAAGATTCAAGTTGTGACACACCATTACAAAAGATTATCGAGCTCACAATACTTGCTATTAGTGGAAGTTCAAGCTCAACAAAAGTATCTACATGTCCTCACACAAAAATGATTCCATTTCCACACACGCAGATTTATCAACTCAGGATCGGGATTCTGATGCAACGCTCACACTCACAAAGAGGAAAACAATGCATGTTATCACCAATAGGTTGGCCCTTATTTTCCAATTGACTTTCGGCTCAGGTCACTCAAGATCAAAAAGGTCTTTCTAAGGCTTGTAATGGGGGTTGAGTGCAAAGGTATGGTCATTTAGGCTCAGTGGTTTTTTCCTCAATGAGATGTGACTTTCTCAAAACATCCTCTTTCTTCCTTCATCAATCCTTAGTCAAGTGCCAATGAGTCCAGCCCTTAAAGGGCATAATTTGAATCCAATGTACCAAAAGGGCATGTCCCGAAGGACAGATCAAAACAGTTTTGCCTGAAAGTGAGCGAACTATGAAATCAGTTAACGTCGATGTTATTTCTTCCATTTGCAAATTCAGTTGAAAAAGTTCAGTAGATTTCCGGTTACAATTGAAAGATGTTGATGTTATTTCCTCCATATTTAAGCTTGATGAAAAATCTGAAAACGGTATTTTTGTTTGATATAGTCTTCAATGCAAAGCATGTCAGCTATATAATTAATCTTATATGTGGAAAATTGATTATAAGTGGAAATGTTGTGTTTAATGATGAAAGTTGAAACTTTAATACTGGGGATGTGTAAATATTCAATTTTTATCTATTGATGAAGAACTTGCAGCAGATCCTACTCCTGGAAACTAGGGATATTCAAAATCGAACCATAATCGATAAGTCCGCAAAATTAACTTATTGATTTATTCGTATTGGGTTATCGAATAAATAATTGATGAATAGATTAGAATTTTTTAATTAACAGCTTATTGATATGGAGGAGGATTATTTAATTTCCTTATGAGATAAATTGTTAATCCGTTAAGAGTTAACATACTTACATGTTTAACTTAAGTATATTAGCCTCATTTAATATATAGGACTAACAATATAATTATATGTTGTTAGTCCTAAGGTCGTAAAGCCAAAAAAGGAAAAGCTATTTACTTTTTTTTAAATAACTATTACATTACTATTAATCTATATTTTTGTAATATAGAAGAACTGTATAATTTAATTGCAAGATGTGTTCATGGAGAGAAAAAAAGGTGGAGGTTAGTTGATACATTATCTGATAACCGTCCAATAAGTGCTAATCTTTTATCGAACAAATCGATATCTTATTGCCAGATTAGTAAAATTAAAATTGATATTCAATAAGTTAAATCGTTAAGCAAAATTATCCACCTGATAAGCAGCCGCGTGCAAATTTAAGAAAAATCATCGCATTTGTTTTGATAAAAGTAATGTACCGTGAAGCGCGGACATATTTACTAAGAGGATCGGTAGTGTATATATTAACATAATAATAAGTAAATATAGAAACCCTACTATATTTACGCTAATGTATAAATATAGTAAATCATATTCCTCTTCCATTCATTTTCATTTTTTTTATTTTTAGCAAAACCTCATCATCCAATTAAGTGTCTAACTAACAAATTAGATTTACTATAAAATACCTCCAATATCCCATATGTACTGCCAAAACACAAGAAAAAATGATGAAAACTTATCACAAGCCTTCATATTTCATGTTATTTACTACACTAATTATAACAATTACTTCAAGTACAAGTTTTGTGCATGGATTAAACGTGATTGATAAATGTTGGAGAACAAATCCAAATTGGAGGAGTCAAAGACAATATTTGGCTAAATGTTCTGTTGGTTATTCTGGAAAGATGACTAATAATATTGGAAACGACGTAGTAATATACAAAGTTACTGATAATAGTGACGATCCCTTAAATCCTAAACCTGGAACCCTAAGATATGCAATGACGCATATTAAGGGAAAGATTTGGGTAACTTTTGAACAAAATATGAAAATTAGACTCCAAAAACCTCTTTTAGTCAGCAGCTTTACTACCATTGATGGCCGGGGAGCTAAGGTTAACATTGCTGGTGGCGCTTGTCTAATGCTTCAAAGGGTACGTAACATTAACACAATTTTCGCACTATTACGTCATCTAAAAGATTAAAATAGGTGATCGTACATAAGTAATATGAAAAATATACATATTTGATGTTGTATGCTACAACACGTTAAGATACACTAATTAAAAAAAAGGGAAAAAGGACAAATATACCCCGAACTATTGTAAATAGTATGCAAATACCGTCCGTCATACTTTTGGGACATTGCTCCTGCTATCTAAAAACTAGAGCATATAGACGTGTTATAATAATGGATCATAATATTAGGCATAGATCCGACGTTTATTAAATATTGGATCGACGGATAGAATGTGCCACATGTCCTTGTTTAGAGTGAAGGGCATGTATGCTTTAGTTTTTGGACGGCAGGGGCATCAATGTCCCAAAAGTATAACGGAGGATATCTGCATACGATTACGATAGTTTAAGGGTATATTTGTCCTTTTATACATTTACTTATCGCAACGTCATCACTAGTGAAAAAAAAAATCAGGATCCACCTCTGATCACCACTATATGTATGTAATTAATTGACATGAATTTTTTAGGTGACAAATGTGATCATTCATGGTCTAAGAATCCACCATTGCAAGGCACAAACTGCGTCAAGAGTCATGGGACCTGATAAAAAAATCGTAAATGTAGGTGCAGTGGATGGGGATGCGATTAGAATGGTGACTTCTTCGAAGATTTGGATTGATCATAACACCCTCTATGAAAGTGAAGATGGTCTGATTGATGTGACTCGTGGTTCTACAAATATTACTATATCTAATAATTGGTTTAGGACACAAAATAAGGTTATGTTGTTAGGTCATGATGATGGATACCTTAGAGACAAAAACATGAAGGTTACTGTTGCATTCAACTATTTTGGTCCTAATTGCAACCAAAGAATGCCAAGGTATCTTAAAAATTTATATAATTGATTTAGTCACAAAATTATTTCACGGCTCAAAACTGTAACCTATAAAAATAAATTTTGCAGGGTTCGTCATGGATATGCACATGTGGTTAACAATATATACAAGGGATGGGGTAACTATGCAATAGGGGGAAGTATGAACCCAAGCATTAAGAGCCAAGCTAATTATTTCTATGCACCAAAAGATGGAAAGAAAGAGGTCAGACTTTTAACATGAAAATTAACCATTCATTTATTTCAATATTTACATATAAAGTTAAATAGAATGCATCGAACATATATACAGATTCATATAACTGACTCCAACTAGTTTAGAACCGAATTGGATTAGTTGATTGATTGATGAAAAATATGATACGATGATGCAGGTCACATGGAAAAAAGAGAGTGGTGTAGTTGGTGAAGTGGCTGGGAATTTCCAGTCAGTTGAAGATGTATTTGCTAACGGAGCATGTTTCAATGGATCGGGTTCAGGTCGTGGGTCGGTGAAGCCAAACTATTCACCAGAGCAAGCTTTTCCGGTGGAAGATGGACACAAGGTCAAGGACTTGACAAGGAATGCAGGTGCTTTAAAATGTTCTTCTACCTGTTGAGCACTACACATACCTCAACTTGGATGGTGAATTGAAGATAAATATTGATCAATACATTTATAGTTTTTCTTTTACTGGAAAATGGACTCCATATATATAATACCTAGTCTAAGAATCTAACGAGTAGAATTTTACTGGGTATGTTGTTGAATCATATTGTTGTAAGAATCAACAAGGATCAACTTTATTTACCTTGATGTACTTGTGCCAAACAGTGATATAGTTTGTAGTTATTTCCTAGTACTAAAACTTACCATAGTACATGAAAATTACCACAGGCCTAAGTGTGCTTGGTAAGGAGGAAAACATTTTCCGAAGAAAATCTATTTTTCTTAAATACTCGTGTTTAATGAACAAGTTATCTAAAATGAGGGAAATAGATTCTCAATGAAAGTAAGGAAAACAAGTTCTGTAAGTGACGATTCTATATTTATTTGTATCCTTTCACCCACCGACACCCTTAAAACTCCAACCCCTTGACCGTCCTACCACACCCCCATAGTATTTTGTTAGATTGCAAATGTATTTTTTGAACGACAAAAAACTTGTTTTCCATGAAAATGCTCTTCATACCAAACACACTTCTACTCTTCGATTTCCTTTTGAAGGAGATCTCTACATCATAAATTATAGTGGAAACATCCAAGTTTCACAAATCTGACACATCTATATTCTTGGGAAGAAAAAGATAGCCTAAAGAAACAAGCAAAGAACAGTACGCTAGGATTATAAAGTGAGAAGAGTAGCAACTCATTCACCAGACAGAAAACTTCCAAAAACTCACTAAAGAAAAGTTTTTTCTATAAAACACAAGTTTATCAACTTGTAAAAAACAAATAATCCATATAAATTCAAATTAACATACATATAAATAGACGGAGAACAAGCACGATTTGTTTTGCATTTAGTTGAAAATCACTTTTTGCTGCAATATCAGGAAAGCATTAATTACCAACAAATGGATAATCAAGAACAAACGCACTTTTATCCAAGAATGCAGTCGGATGTAATAGTCTATATTGCCTGAATTCACCATTCAGTAAGTCTGAAAAGCTCGCCCACAGAATTTCCAAGGCAGTTCAAGTGCAACTCAGCGCTAAATGTAATAAAGTACAGTCGATGTAAAAGTACCGAATAATCATGTATAATGTGACCAACTCGAGTACATCAGTGTCCAATATGTGAAACCAACCCAATCAAAGACTTTAAATCACATAGGAACAACACGGGCCTTGTACATGCAAATATAAGCCATATGCCAATCACCTGAAACCAAATAAGGCTTTTTTTATCAACAAACTCACAAAATGATCAATACATTCGGGCTGCACAAGCAACCGAGATTGATTCATTTCATCGATGTAAATGAGTCAAGTTACCTAACGTGACACGCTATTTACATCAGCAGAGATCTACCGTGAGTAAATCACATAAATGTACCATATTAAAAAAATATTTACCATTTATGTCAACATAATTTTTCTAACTAAATATAACAATTTTTAAGAATTAAAAGATTGTACTTTTAATCTTCATTCGCTCTTTCTCTGCGCTTTTTCTCTTCCTCTTTTTTTTTCTTTCGGTGTCAATCTCTCTTCTTCCTCACTTTTTTCATTTTTCTAAAATTTTCAATTAAATAATTATTTTAAATTACTTTTTCCCATATTTCACTATTTTTATTCAAAAATACGACAAGAAAAGGAATAGAAAAAACAGAAAATTGTACAATATGATGTTTCTCAAATAGGAATTTTAAAATTTTAAAATTATAGAAACAAGAGTTAATCATCGATTGTCATTATAAAGATTAAATTTTATGAATTTGTGATTAATTTGGATAGGTTGTTCCTACAAATAAGTGAAATGTCATTTGGAGTTTATATCCCAATTTCAAGAGGATTTGGTTAATTTTATAATTAATTTTGGTTAAGTTTATAATTTATTCATGAACAATACAAGTTAAGTTCAATCTATAGATTATTATCTTGTCTTTTGTTAGTTACGTTTTTCATTTATTATTTTTTTTCTTTCTAATTCAACTTTAATATTGTGTAATACATTTATAATGCAAATTTAATTCATTTTGTACTTTATTATTTGTTATTGTTAGATTACTTGTTTAATCCATTATTGATATAAGTTTAATTCACTCTACAGATCATTGTCTTGTGTTTCATTGATTACAATTTTTATCTATGCTTAATTCAACTTTAATTTAATATTTGTGTATGGATTTTTAATACAAGTTAATTCATTTTGCATTTTATTGGTTGATTTGTTATGATTGAATTACGTCCGATACAAGTTTTATTCAATTTACAAATCACATAATGCTCTTTCTTTGGCTACATTTGCATTCATGTTTAATTTGCTTCTCATTCAACTTTGATATGTGTAACATTTTTTTTATTGAAGTTTAATTCATTTGGCAATTTATTATGTTTCTTCATTTGTTAGAATTAGACTACTTGTCAAATTAATTGATTATCTTAGTGATAAAAGCAAAGATAATCTATAAGATACATATGATATAAGTTCTACTCATGGATAATGAGTTTACTTCAATTTATAGATTGTTGTGTTGTCTTTTGTTACTTACGTTTTTTCATTCATTTTAAATTCTCTTCTAATTTAACTTTAATATTGTGTAATACAATTTTAAAGCAATTTAATTGATTCTGTAATTTTTTGATTTATTTATTACTATTGGATTACTTGTTTAATTCATTATTAATACAAGTTTAATTTACTCTAGACCATTGTGTGTAATACATTTTTAATTCAACTTTAATATGTGTGTGATACATTTTAAATTCAAGTTTAATTCATGTTTCAATTTATTATGTGTCTTCATTTGTTACGATTAAATTATTTGTTTAATTAATTAATTATTGATACAAATTTTATTCATTCTATGAATTATTGACTACTCTACGAAAGAAAGTAGAGAGAAACTAAAGGAAAAAAAGCAACGTGGGAGTGCACAGCAGAAAGAAAGCAAAAGAAAAAAGGAAAAAAAACAATAAAAAGAAAGTAAAGGAGAAGAGCAACAAAAAGAAAAAAGTTGGCAGAGAAAAAGAAAAAAAACAATAAAAAAAGAAAGTAAGAGAGGAAGAGCAACAAAAGAAAAAAGTTGGCAGAGAAAAAAGAGAGAGGGAACGAGGAAAAAATCTTATAATAATATATAATATTACTTTATATTGATATAAATGGTAATAATTAAAGAGTATAGCTAAAATAAGTAATTATTTTTAAAAAAGGATTCACTCAAGTAATTAAGTCATATACCGTCTGGTTTGCATCTTCAAGAACAGATAGGCTTGCCAAGCGTAATATAATAAACAAATGATTGACTTACCACCCCCTGAAAGTTTAGTGATGTCCTCTTCTCGCTGCGGGATTGGATTGTCATCATCGAATTGAACCCACTTTCCTGTTTACAATGAGATTTCAATATATTGTATCAGATGGTAGTCCAAAAGCAACAGTTACTAATACAAAATATCTTCCCAGTTAAACTGACCGTTCTCTTGCTTGACCCAGGCAACATAATGCCCTGAGTCGGCACTTCTTCCCTTGTGAGTCAGCACCGCCACCAAATCATATATTCCAGTCAACTGGTGTTCCTTCTCAGGCAGAACACCTGAAATGGAGTTTATTATTGGAGCCTCATTTGAAAAAAAAAAATTAAGAAAATAACTGCAACTCCTCATTCATAACTGAAATCCCAAATTGAGCTATTAGACTAGCTTTCCTTCTATATTAGAAACAAAGAACTGTTGATAAAAAAGTGACCATTCACAACTACTGCAGCCAAATCTGGAACTAGTGAGTCACTCGCATAAGTCCTCGCTATTTCTGATGCTCCATTTGGGCCTATTTCATTTCAACCCTCAAAAATTTGTTTTTTAAGAAAGTTACAGGGTTATCTAGTGCTAGAACTTCTTAAAAATTTTCTACATACAAACAAATGCATAAACAAATTAAAAGACTCCAAGAAAACACCAATATAGTATAAGTATACCAACAAAGCTAAACCTAAAAGACTTCCACTGTTCTATAAATTCAAAGGTGTCGCCTTCCAAAGGAACTCGTCAAAACGTCCTGAGGAATCAAGGGACATATAGTAATGTAAAAAGGGATAAACCTGATCCAGTTAATAATCTTAATTGGATCCCAAAACTATTAATGGGAAGTTGCTTGGTCGGATCAAAAATATTAATATTGACCTTGCAAAAAGAAGTTTGAATACCCAAGGCTGACCGTCATTGTCATAAGAACCCCAAAGAACTAATGGAAACTCTAATATTACTGCAAAATTATACCCAACAATTAACGAGTAGAGTTTTCTTCAAAGCAAACAAAGGCTAAATGAGTTGGAAGAGATCATAACAACGATTTTTCACCCAAATACTATAATTGTAACGCCAGCCTTGTTTACAAATTACAATACTACAGCACCATACGTTTATTATGTCATCAATTATTAGGGAAAGGAAGTGTTTCTTCTACCTTCTTGGGATGTAGATTTAGATGCTTCTCCACTTCCACTAGATGATTCCTGCATAAACAATAAAGAAAAACGAAGCAAGTCAAAGGCTACTTTCAGACATTCTAAAAGTAACCCATTCAACCACCTTGTAAAATCCACCACAAGTGGGCCCCAAAGGTCCGCCTTTATCCCCTTGAGTTACTCCTACAGTAGAAGGATCAATTACATACCTCAGCATCGGTCATTTTAGTGTCGTTGTCAGTTGTAACTGGAGTTTTTGCACTTGTTTTTAAACCAGCCTTCTTACCTTCTGCATCCCTCAAAACCTAGCAGGAAATTTAGACTATGTTATAACACTGCAAGAGAAAGAAAGAGGGCCAAGAGGATCTTTCCTTATTTCTTAAAGACAAATATAAAAAACGGGCAAAAGAAATACCTGGCGGGGGCCTTCCAGTTTCTTGCGAAGGTTATCCGAACAAAGATCATATACATCCAACGACAATGGGTAATCCACTTTCTGATGGCATAAACATATTTTAAGATTACCATTTCTTATATCTTAGAGCAATGAGCGACCCAATACATATAGAAACTATAACATAAGATTTTGAAATATAAGCGAACTTATATTACTACAGAAAGCAAGAACTGTTGAGTTTTAATAAGAGACATGACTATTGTTTGAAGTGTACATTAATTTTAGTTTCCTAGATTATCATTCTTTTTCGAAGTGCTTCCTACATCATCATTTGAGTTCCAAAATCCTGATATATCTAAAATCAATCATGTACAATTTACGATTTACAACTCCTTGTTGTCACATAATTACAAGCCATGGGTGGAAATGGAAGCGACCATTCTATACTTGTGCACAAAGGTGTATGAATGGTCTAGGTTTAAGAATGGTCTAGATTGGATATGGGTGGAACTAATATGAACCTTAATTATACATCCTTTATTACCTTTCTCCCAAAAGAAAAAGTTAGTCAGAACCCAACCTAGCCAATATTGGCTAAAAATGGTTGTAATCTCATACTTATCGAATGTGTACATCTTTTCCTTTATTTTTTTATAGACATGTCCCATATTCAATGAACTCTTAACCACAAGCACTATCATTTTCCTGAAAGCATATTACTTGAAGAAGTTTCTTAGCTGTTTATTATTTCTAGTTGCTGAAATGTAGTCATTGAAGCATAAAAACTCCCCCGTGTAATTATTTCCAAGTTACACCTGCTCCAACATCATAACATGAACTTAAGAGAGGTTTCAATCAATTTTCTATTGGAAGGTCACTATAATCAACGCTTCCATGCCTACACCATCACAAAGAAGTCTAAAGTTAAAATATACAGTTCGGAATTGACAATCCAGATAGGAGACGAGACTTGAAAGAACTTAAATGTGACAGAGTGGGTCACCCTCACATAAAAAGTAAAACATGGAACTTCTTTCCCCAGTTTATACATGGTAAAATGATC